TTCCGAGGCCCAAGCCCAAAGGGGAGGAACACATAGGGTTCCAACCCCTTCTTGTTGTCCTTATTGAATCTAGTTACAGACAATGAGAGCATTACCAAGATGAGAAAGGAGAAGTATCTTTGCTTTTGGGCATTCATACAAATTCAAATGAGTGAAGGAAATTATTTGGTAAGCAAGGTTCACTGCTTTCTCCCCAGTGCCTGTTGTTGCATGCTGTTGAGTCAATTCCGACTCATAGTGACCTATCATGTTGAATGAGTGAATGAATGACTGAAAATACATGAATTAGTTCAACAAATGCTTATTTGAAACCTGTAATGTATAAGGCACTGTTTTAGGTTTCATGGGTGTTGTTTTGGATATCTCGTTCTGCTGTAAAAGAAATACCAAAGTGGGCGGTTTTAAAGAACATAAATTTATTTTCTTACAGGTTAGGAGGCTGGAAGTCCAAATTCAGGGTGCTGGCTCTAGGGAAATGTTCTCTTTGTGTTCTCTAAAGAAAAATCTTTGTCTCAGCTTCTCTGGTTTTCTTGGTGTTCCTCGGAGATATCCACGTGGCATCTAACTTCCCCCATTTTGTTTTCTTGTTTCATTCTGTGTCTAATCTGCTCTTTTTAGGTTTAAGACATGCCCTACACTGCTATGGTCTCATTAACATAACAAAGAAAACCCTATTCCCAGATGGGATTATGTTGTTATGTTGTGCCATAGAGACCCTACATAGAACAGAACAAAACATTTGCCTGGTTCTACACCATCCTCTCAATTGTTGCTGTGTTTGAGCCCATTGTTGCAGCCACTGTATCAATCCATCCCATTAAGGGCACTTTAGTCCCAAAGTGACATCTTTGCTTTTTAATACTTAAAACAGGTCTTTTGCAGATTGCCCAATGCAATACATCATTTGATTTCTTTCTTGTTTTCCTAAATTTTATTTATTTTTATTGTTATTGTTGATAATATAAACAGCAAAACATCCACCAATGCAATAGTTTCTACGTGTACAATTTAGTGATACTGATTACGTTCTTCGAGGTATACAACAATTCTCACCTTCCTTTTCTGAGTTGTTCCGCCCCCATTAGCATAAATTCACTGCCCCCTAAAGTTCCTATCTAATGTTTTAAGTTCCTGTTGTCAATTTGATCCCATATAGATAGTTCTTAAAAGAGCATAATGCTCAAAACCAAAACCAAACCTGTTGCCGTCGAGTCAATTTTGACTCGTAGCGATCCTATAGGACAGAGTAGAACTGCCCCATAGAGTTTCCAAGGAGCGACTGGTGGATTCGAGCTGCCAACCTTTTGGTTGGCAGTCAGGCTCTTAACCACTGCACCACTAGGGCTCCCATAATGCTCAAGGCAGACCGTTTTTACTAGTTAAGCTAAACTACTGCTTGGTTTTAAGATGACTTCAAGGGATATTTTTAGTTAAGGTTTAAAGATTATCTCAGTGCAATAGTTTCAGGGCTTCAGCCCCCCTCCATGGCTCCAGAAAGTCTAGAGTCCATGAGAATTTGAAATTCTCTTCTGCATTTTCACTTTTTTGATCAAGATTCTTCTATGGAATCTTTAATCAAAGTGTTCAGTAATGGTAGCCGGGCACCATGCAGTTCTTCTTAACTCACGGCAAAAGATGCAGCTGTTCATACAGGCAATTAGCCACACATTCCATTTCCTCCCCCTATTCCTGACTCTCCTTCTTCCTCTGTTTCTTCAGGCAAATAGAGAGAAATTGTTGTGCCTTGGATGGCCACTTGCAAGGTTTTAAGATCGAGCACTACGCAACGGATTAGAAGGTAGAATAGAAACACTAAACACATTATTAGGCCAATTAACCGGGATGTCCCATAAAACCATGACCCTAAACTTCCAAACAAAGGAACCAAACCCCATGAGGTGTTTGGTTGTACATAAGCAGCCTCAGCAGCTACTCTTTCTTTTTTTTCCTTTTTTTCTC